TTCTTTCCTTTTGAGCAGTTTCTTTCCCTTTCACAATATCTACTGTACATTTTGGATCTTATTTACTCTTTCAGTTTCTTACACCAGGGAGGCAATATGATGTTTACACATGCAAATCTGATTTAGTTCACTTTTAAGTATGGGCTCTAGTTGCATCACACATTGTTCTTGATGGTTCTTTCTATCATGCTATTGATGATAAAAATAATGTAGACATAAGAGGTGTGGAGAATGTTGAGTGTTCCCTTCCCCTTAACTCTTCACTGATTCTAATTTCCGTTTCTTTGGTAGGTAGTGGACTTTGTAGCAGCAACACTGCAGAGAGCATGTGCAAGCCTGGCCCATGAGGCGGAGAGCACCGTGGAGTCACAGACACTGAGCATGTCCATGGGGCTTGTGGCCGTCATGCTAGGAGGAGCAGTTCAGGTGCGTTGTAGACATGAACCAAACTTGAACGGAGGGAAAGAAGAGCAAAGTACCTGCTGCTTCCTTTCCAAACCCTTGTGAAAAATGAGAATGAATAGTGTACCTACGAGAACAAGGATGAACAAGTTAGATTGTTAATGAGAATTATTTCCAAAGTAGAAGCCAAGGAAAATGTACCACTTTCACTCTGTTCCCTGAGTAAACTTCACTGTCAGAAGGGCAGGGCCCTTTCCTACCTGGTATAAGTCCAATGTGGAAACATCTATCATGGTGTTTTGCATCTGAAGCCAATCCTAGAAATACTACATTCTCTAGCCCTTATTCTCCAAAACGCAGCCCTTGTTCTTGCTAATACAGTCAGTGGGGAATCCCCAGTAACCTGGTTGCTTAGGACTGCGTCTGTCTTCAATAGCTCCATTTTAGCACAAGATCCATTGTTCAGCCCATATCACATAAACGTGTTAAAATACTGCTTCCAGCCACTTTTTAATGCATATATCTTTTATATATTTAATTTATAATTCTTAAATTTTTTCATTCAAACATTATTTATTGCATACTGCCATAGGGCCTAGAAGTATAGAAATGACCAAAGCACACATGGTGTGTACCTTCATGACACAGTCCAGCAAGACAATCAAACACGAAATCACTGTTCAAAAAAAAATAAGAATTGAATGAGGTGCCTCCAAAGAGAAGTGAAGAGTACCAAGAGAACATAATCTCTAACCTAGGCTGAGAACGTCTCTAGTGCAGAAGTATGAATTTAAGCCAAGTCTCAAAGGATGAATAGGAGTTTGAATGTGTGTGTATGATACAGGTGGCAAAAAACTGCCAGTAAAAGAAACATCAGTTAGCAAAGTTCAGAAACAGGAAAGAGCTTGGTGTACTTGAGACTCCCATAGAAGGCTGGTACAGCTGAGTTGTAGCCATGGAGGGGAAGAGTAGTGCCAGCAAGGGGAAAGGATAGGCAGGGGCTGGATGGTTCACGTGGGTGTGACTGGTTAATTATATGCTATGTTAGGTTAGGATACTGCAAAAAAAAAAAAAAAAAAAAAAAAAAAAAAAAAAAAACCAGAACAGTCTTGATGCAGGTAATATAAAATCCAACTGAAAGCAGCCTTCTCATAGCTTTGAGTAGGGAATCCTCTGGAAGTAGTTTTGAGTTTGAGAATTCCAGTTTGATTTGATTGCTATACTAGAATTTGCCTCCTCTGGGCCAGTTGTTAATGTGAAGCCCATTTCTCGGTAGATTTACTCGGTACCCTAATTTTGCATTTCCCATATCATTTGAAAAAATTAGTTTTTGGCTCAGTTTCTAGAGCCATATTAGAGTTATCAAGTAGGGTTCACAGAGAAGTTTTCCTTAAGTTGTGTTGTTACAGCAGGCCTGATTAATTTTTGTTATTCTGATTGAATATTAATTTGAATAGTTTTTGTTTCTATAACCTGAGAATGGGCATTTTGTTTTGTTTTGCTTTAGTTTTTGAGACAGGGTCTCACTATATAGTTCAGGCTGTCTGTGAACTCATTAGGTAGCCCAGGCTGTCCTTGAACTCCCAGTGATACTCCTTCCTTCCTCAGCCTCCCAGGGGCTGCACCACCCAAGGGCTTCAGATGCACCACCGCGCCCAGCTTTTCTTTTTGTTTTGCTTCTTCTTATTTAACCCTTATTCAAGACCACATCACAGATGGAAAATAGATTATAGAAATGTACATTCGTCTTTCTAGAAGCCCACGGTTGGGAGCGTGCTGTGTACATTGGTTGTGTTCTAAAAGAGTCTCACCTGGCTGATGTAAATGTACAGCCCTTGCCTGTCCCTGCCCTCTTATGAGCTATCCTGACTCACTGACTGCATCCTGGATTCCTCTGACTTTGCAGTTTGTTAAGTGAACATACACACGTCACCTCTGAGGCTTTTGCCCTAGATATATTAATTTTTTTTTCCGTTTGAATCATATATTTGTAAGCGGCTTCTGCTGTAATGCTGAGTTTTGTCTTTGCATTAAGAAAAGTCATGAGTCTGAATTATGGTTTCATTTTACCATTATCAGGCTGTCTTTGCTTCAGAGTCTAGCACATCATTCTCTACACCTGATAGGAGTCATTGTTTTGGCTAATGAAACAAAATCTAACAGGCTCTAAGCTTTTTTCTCTTGTTTCTAATTTATGTAATTAAGATGATTATTAAAATATCGTGTCTGGGAAGAAAGTTAATTTGGAGAAAGTGCACGTTTAAGACTGCTAACAAGACAACTCTAATTCCAAACTCATTTTCTAAATTTCAGGGTTGGTCATCAGTAAAAAGTATTATGTTGGTAACTTCCCTGTCCCCTCAGGAAGCATTTTCTGTTGGTGTTGCAGAGGCTATGGTTCCTCTAAAGCTCTCCCACAAGAAGCTAAGGAGAGCATTCTAGACATTCTTTAGGAAAAACTAAAACCCTATTATTCCAGGGAGGCAGCACAGTCTACAAGTTAAAGCCTGGGTTCCTGATCTAATGGGAGGGTGTTTATTACTGGGAGACTGAAGGTGCATCTCTAAAGGACAGAGTCCTTAGGTTTATCCTATTCTATGCTGCTTAGGTCTCAGATGGTTTCCTTCTTAAACCCAGAAAGCACAGAGCTATAAGCTGTATCCTCAGTCTCCCCCCATCCCCCAAAATAACCTTTGTTTTGAGACAAGGTCTTACTAAATTGCCTAGTCTGGCCTTGAACTTACGATCCTTCTGCCTTAGCTCCAAGTAGCTCGGATTATAGGCATGTGTCACCACACCCAGCTTACTTTTAACAAAAAGCCATTGCTTAAACTCTTTATTAAAAAAGTTGCCCCGAAGCTGATTGTAGTGGTGCAGCTCTGTAATCCCTACTCTCTACGCTGGGGGAGAAGGATCACAAGTTCTAGGGCAGCATAGGCAATTTAGTGAGACCCTGTCAAAAAATAAAAAGGGCTCCAGATGTAGTTTAGCAGTAGAGTACTTACTTAGCGTACTTGAGGCCCTGGGTGCCATGCCCAGTACTGAACAACACTCTTAGATGTAGTTGACTTACATATCAGAATCACAGCAAATACTGGAGACCAGGATGAAAATAGTGATATGCAAGCTTGAGGTGTCTACCGACCAGGGAAAAAGAAGAGAGAGAACCACTGAAATCTTATATACAACAAGGCGAGTTGATTGACTCATTTCTATACTGGGATGCAATTCTTTCTCTGGACATTCTATAGAATAACTTGGACCACAATTTCAAGCTATAAATGGAACTTCAATCATTCTTAACTACTGTTTCGCCCCTTGAGCAGTCTATTTCACAGATGTTTTCCATTTCTCCCCCCCTCAAACTCCCTTACCTTTTTTTTTTTCAGTCCAGTGACTTGAACCCAGTGCCTTCACACTGAGCTACATCCCCAGCCCTTTTAAAATTTTTCTATTTCAAGACAGGGTCTTGACGAGTTGCCTGAGCTGGGCTCAAATTTGCAATCCTCCTGCCTTGTTCTCCCAGAGCTGAGATTATAGGCATGTACCACCATGCCCAGGTATTTCTGCCAGTTTTAATAAATAGTTTTGGATGGAGGGACAAATTGAAGGCAGAATAAAAGGAAGGAAGGAAGGAAATATGTATTTTTAAGTAAGGAGGCATTGATTTCTGTTTTCTTTTATTTATCAAAGGGGAGAAGTATCAAAAAGTTTAGAAACACTCCTCTCTCCAGTAGTAAGCAACCTTCAGGTCTGGGTCCACCCTTGTGTGTGTTGTTCGTGTTAGTCATGTGTCTTTAGGGGAAAAGGAGTTTCTTAGTGTTTTCACAGGCTTTGCTTGGTTGTCCTCTAGATAACCCAGACTTTTCTCAGACTTTCTCTAGCTGGCAAAAAAAAAAAACAAAAAACCAACTTAGAAATCAGGCTCCAACCCGCCATACTACCACCGACATCGGGCGCCTTGCCCCATAATCTGTATAGCAAAGGACAAAAAGGCCCGGCCCGGCCCTGCCCATCCTGCCAGCACCAGGCACCTCACCCCACTGCATGAACAGGAGAGGAGACGAGCACCCAAACTACCAAATCCTAGCCAGGTCTGTGCCTTCATTCTCAGAACAGGCTGACAGAGGTGACAGCCAGAAGACTGACCTGACTGAGGATGAGACCACTACTGTGGAGGAGGACTGAAGGGTTACCTTCTGCAGAGACTGGGTGAGAGACAGCCTTGCGAATAGGCTTACAGAGGGTGAAAGCTAGATGAGGATCTCCTGAGATTCCCTGAGAAGCTAAGGCTCAGACCAGGAAGATCATGGGACCTGTGTTCAGTGGCAGGAGGCCAGGTTTTATGGCTGTAGCCTTTAGAAGTGGTGGATCTGAAGGAGATGGCTGGAGCTCTTGTACTGCTGTCTACATCCAGCAGAAACTAGTGGTCTGATATACTATAGGTTAATATCTGGGTTGCCTAAGCATCTATGCCAAAATCATAGACTTCTTTGCCTTGGTTAGTGGTAATTCATGAGTGGTTCTTAGAGTTTGTCAGTATCCAGTTTATATTTGATGGTACTGTTTTTTGTTAACTTAGTCATTGCTTTTTTAATTTTTTTTAAAAAATTGTATTGCTGGGCATGGTGGCACACACCTATAGTACCAGCACTTAGGAGGCTGAGGCAGGAGGATTGTTGCCTGGGCTACAAAGTGAGCTCAAGGCCAGCCTGAACTGCATAGCAAGACCTTGTCTCAAATAGATTTTAAAAAAAAATTATTGATGCTATTGCTGCCACTGACTTTGCTATTATAGCCATGATGACATAGTTACTGCTGTCAGCTGGCTTTCTCTGCATGCTAATATCTGGATTTCTCGGGGGTTATAAACAATACTGTGGCCCATTCCCAAAGAATTGGGCACTGGGCCAAAGAAGCTACAAATCCCAAGACACACAAAAAAACAACTACAACCAAAATAAAAAGAAGAAAAACATGAGAAGATAAGGCAATGAAATGCCTCTGAAAATTTCCAACTCCCC